TCGTGGATTTTCCTATGTTTCGAGGGGTGCATCAATTAGCTTGGGACCGAAGATAGTACCAGAGCTGAGCCAAAAAGTTGAGCACGTTTCTTCGGGACCTTCTAGTCTTAGAGTTACCTCTATGGTATTATTCTGCCAAACAGTTGTCTATATCTTGGTCATAAAAGTTATAAAGAATAGGGCAGAGACATGAGCCTTGGGGCAGGCCCATGTTGTTCTAGACAGTTGAATCAACAATCAATACGAAACTAACGATTTAAAATTGGCTCACCACTTTAGTAGCCTATTGGTCCCAAGCAAACGATTAACGTACCCTATTCTAGTTGAAATTCTATTACTACACTATGTTTGTTTTGATTGGCTATGAAAGTTTGACAGATAACATCAGGGGTGTGTGGATTCATGCAGAACATGCAGGGGTGAGTGAAATAGCTTGGGACTGCTTGGGACCGTTGTTCTGGTACTGTTACCTCTATGATATTACCATCCAAAGCTCTACCAAAAACCGAGCGCTTGGCCATAGTTGTATCAGGTGAAGGCATTAGCAAATTATTGGCTGTTCCACCCATCGAAAACTCTACGGGGGCACAACAAGCAGAACCGGTGTACAATGCAGTCGTCGAATGGGGGCTTGCGGCCAGGTATGATCTTAAATCTTGTATGTTCACTTATCATTTTATCGTTTGTTTTCAGAATTATGTTCACATCTTTTGATACTACTGCATCAAACACCGGTAGAAAAAAAAGTGCGTGTCAGTACCTGGACAAATTGTTTAAGAGGCAGCTTATAGGCCTCCCTTGTAGACACCACATACATGAACTGCTACTTGGCAAAGCTTTTAAAATTCTGAAATTTGAAACGTCAAAGTCTCCAAATGTTGAGATTTTTAAGGAATGATGGATGATGATTTTTTTTAAATAGCTATTTCGGAAATAGAAAGATTGGCGTTATTGGAGTTTTATGAAAAACAAATTAGAGAGCAACACCACCGTGGTGATTACCGAGAGGTTCTACAACTTGCTATTTTATATTTGGGTGGAAAAATCGATGAAAAATTACAAATAAGAGCTCCTGGTGCGTTCCACAATGCAAGGTGAATGGCCAAAATCATTTAATCTTTCGGCATGAATTTGCTTTACCAGATAAAACTAAAAATCAACTAGCTCGATTTTGTGTGTTCATCGTAAAAATTTATTTTAAAAGTTGGTTTCTTTCTCCGTGTGCTGCGATGGCACCCAACAACGATCTGAACCTGTTAAAAATATTGAAGGAATATGAAACTGTTGATGAAGACGTTGCGAAAGTAGTACATAAAGGAATTTTAACTCACTTGCAATATTTGGACAACAGCCTTATCGGACTATGTCTGTTCGACGAAAATGTAGGCCTCCCGGTTAAGAAAAAGGTCATCGAAGCCTTACTTCTATCAGGTAAATGCTTTAATTGATACATTTGCATTTAATTTTCTAATGATTTTTTTTACAGATACTCATAAAAACATTACAGCCAGATCCATTGTTGAATCCAACGATATTTCAACGATTGAACTACACTCGTGTGTACAAGGCAGCAGTGGTATTGAAAACTTATTCAATGCTCTCTAAATTCCGAAGTCGTTGCTGAATGTCGATATGGAGCAGTGGAGTAGTTCCATCGAGTTTAAAAATGCCAAAAGACGGGTTCAATGTTTGGAAGTAGTTAATGATAATGCAGAGCGTGGTATAGCATTGATTAAGGTTCAATTTACTTTGATACTTTTTGAAAAATTTCATAAGCAGTTTTTTCCGACGCATTATTTCAGATTGCAAAAAGCTCACACTATTCGATTCCTTTTGATATTTTACACAAAATGACGCGAGCTTTTTGCAATCTAAAATAATGCGTCGAAAAAAACTGCTTTGAAGTTTTAAAACATGCATCAAAGTAAATTGAACCTTAAAACATATAATTCAAAACTATCAACGGATGAAGATCAAAAGCAGTGCATTTTACAATTAGTTGAAGAGTACCAGGAAATCTGATTTGGTGTAGTTAATAAGGAAATATATGGCAAAGTATAAAACAAGTATTTTTTCATCTTTTCAGGCACATGTTCCTCTTGTGTAAAACTCATGATTCCCAAAAAAAAACACAGATTAACGCAATTCAGGATATTTTTACAATTGATTTTAGGAATTTCTGATGAAAAGTTGTGGTTTTTCATATATTTTTGAATTTTTGGACCACCCTAATGAAGAATAATTGGACCACCCTAGTGAATTATTTCGTATTAGATCCTAAATGGTGGTTTAATTCGATATATAAGCAGGTTGGAGACAATTGTGAACAGTTTTAGAAGCCGACTCATCAATCTTCTATATTACATATGAACTCATGAAAAAAATCTAAGTCCCAGAAAGTCGATTTTCGAAAAAAAAAAAATCGAGATGACACCAAATCTCGACGTTTCATGCATTTTTAAGACATTTGGCATCAAACATTTTTTTCTGATTTCCGAAATTTCATGTACCTCCTACCCCCCCCCCCCCCCCCCTGGGAGATTTTCGAGAGTGAAAAAAGTCAAATTTGACGCGTTTGTGCCACCCCTAAAGCCTGGTACGCAGCTGAAAAGTAATGACGTTTTTACGTGCTACGGGATTGGAAGATTGCCGTAAAATCTCAACGCAGATGTCGCCACTGCATGATGATGATAATGTTGACAGACTGCATATAAAATTCGTGAAAATTAGCGTTAAATCATAATTTTCATCAAGCCTGTGTAAAATCCTTCCAATATAACATTCGAATTGAAGAAGAAAACGTTTTCACGATCAGACTGATATGCATCTTTGACTTTTCCAGTTGAACTTTCATTAGATATATTCATTTCATTTCGCGGCTCCATCAATGCTGCATTGTAAATATGATGTAAACAGAAGTAAATTGCTCAATTACTCAAAATAAAGATGATTTGTATTCTTGTTATCACTTTGAAGACCATCTAGCACCATTTTATAGCATGGTGCGTGTTGAGTAAAGCAAGTTCCGTTGCGTTTTCCGTCGAAAATTGTGAGTATCAATATGTTTTCTTAGAAAAGGCCAAAATGAACATTTATTTAATATTGGCGTCCTATACAACCAATTCTCCATTACCACCAGCATGATACAACCTTTCATAAGTAAATGAACTTAATTTCCACTTTCATCTTAGTGTAAATCTCACATATTTACCATTTTCTGAAAAATGCAGCTGCGCAGGAGGTAACCTCTCCCTGTGGGTGCAAACTTGTTATGCATAATTTGCCATGAAAACATCTCCGATCCATACCGAAATAATAACAAATAGTTTTCAAACACGTTTTCTTACACGATTCAAGCAAAAGTTTCCACGGGAAATTATTAGTTTTTCTTAATGGACCGATTTGCCCCAAAAAGCGTCTGTTTTACTTGGAAAATTTGGAAACTATCCTCCTTCTAGTAGTTCTCACTTCGAAATGTAGGTGGCGAAAGCTTGGAAAAGTTTCACTGCAAGACGCCAATAGGACACGGAATGCTAAAGAAATTTCTTTTCCTTAGCATTTCTTGACCCAGTACGCAGTTCAAAAGAAATCGGTAAAGGAAAGATCGATTACATTAGTATCGTGATCGACATGAAGGTGGCGCATTCTGAATGCAATTTCACTTTCCTTGCGGAATAATGGTCTGATCAATTATTCCGTTAGGTAATGTTGGCGTTTATTGCAAAACTGATGTTTTGGATGCATTTAAACAACATAAACACTAATAAGTGTTGATTTTACAATTTGACCACATCTCCCTATAATCTCAAAATTTAGCAGACTATAGCTGTCAAATTTTCTTTTGGGAAAAATCCTCAAAAATTACTTTTCCGTTTTCTTTTCAGCTGCGTACCAGGCTTAAATCATGTCCGATTGAGCTCAAATTTTGCATTGGGTCATTTTTCGAGGCAATAAACATTTTGTATATGGTTTGTTAGCGAAATTAAAAATAACCATTTTCGCTGGCAGTCTAGCACAGTTCGAAAAAGTAGTGTAAATTTCTGTTCAATATGATGCACATAAATGGAGCGTAACATATCATATACGTTCACATTATATATCATGTAAAGTTCTGACACATTTCATGCAATGCAGCAAATATTGTAAACAAAAGCCCATCTTTTTAAACAACATTGTTTGCAAGTTGCTCGGTTGCGTGAAAAGAAATACAAGTCTACGTGAATGAATATTTACATCACAATTAAAATTCAGAATTTTTATCTGTGAGTGTACGTCGAATTCATAGAAAATTTAAAGTAAAGAATTGCCGACATAAATCTTTATAGGGCTCATTACGGATGTCACTTCACGGTGAAAACTTGTCACTTGTCGTCACGGTGAAGTGATTCCCATTTGATTTGTACGACAATCACGGCTCTTATTCTGAGTATCACTTCCTTATCACCATGTAGTGACACCCGTAATAAGGCCCTATTTCTGCATAAAGAACTTTGAAGAAGTTTCACGAACGGTTGGTCAGGCTTGGCTTTGTTTTGTCTTTACTCAGCTTTTCGTTGGACCGGTTAAACGATTCGATTTGGGCAAGTTGGCGTTGCTCAAGGACAATCTTTGGTCGTCGGTGAAGGAAGTGAAACCGGAGGTGAACGTATGCCTGAAAGAGGAACGATGGGAAGGCTCGAGTGACGATCGATTTGACGCTAGAGGATAGGCAGTTGTGCCACATAAATGGAAGATGCAAGTGTAGTGAACTCGTCTAAACCTGTCTAAACCTCACTTGGAAAGTGAGAGCTCTGAAGAGAATGAGTCCCACAAAGGGAAGTTGAGTATGTAAAGGAACAGGAGAAATATACGAATTCAGAACTTGTTAGACAAACCACCAAACTAGACATGTTTACTTTAGCAACGATCTCGCTCGGTCTGATTCCTTCCTACATACCAGACTTATGGTTTATACCCCCAGAGGTAAGTGATATCTCCCAACAATAAAAACATCGGTCAAATTGCTTGCATTACGTAACTACTGATTATAAATTCTGCTTTATTGATCTATCTCTAACTGTTGTGTATACGTAAAACAAACACTACATCACTACGGTTACATATATGTGTATAAGATATATCTTCATAAAAGTTTGCTTTGTATCATTATTTCCTCATGTGTATTGTAAAACATCCATATGTTGCATTTGTTGTTGTTGTTGTTGTTGTTCTTCAGATTATTATATTTGAATTTAGTTCACTTGGCTTCTCTGATGGCAAATAAGAAACAGTACACAATGGTACGTTGGAAAAAAATCATTGGAGGAAAATCTGAAAACTGCCAAGCAAACTGAAAAGAAATGCAAAATCCCAAATAAAATAATAAAGTGGAAATGTTCTTTAGTGTACTTATGGCTAACAATTCTGTTATTGATCTGCTTCACCAGTGTTTAATTTATTTTAACGAAAACTCAGTGACATTCATTTCGGAACTAAATGCACTCCCTCAATGTCAACGTGATTACTTCTGTTTGTGCTATTGTTTGAAAATGATGATTTAGAAGGAAGATCTATTGGACAATCTGTATTTTTATCTACACGACGACGCGTACAAGTGAGATTAGCTGATAATTGTATAAATCTCCTCTAGCAAAGCTTTTTCTCCCGCTAAAAGTTGTCACTGTCTTTCCGAACTGTCATTGTACTTTTCTAAAAATCTATGTTGAATCTCTACACCGTCACCCAGAAATTTAAAAAAAAGCTTAATATGTAAAATTAAACACACAAAATAATCTAAAATCTGTAAATAGTACCATCAACAACACAAATTAGACTAATTATGAAAAAAAAAGATTATAATCATTAACAAATATTTTCCCTAAAAAACTCCACTCGACCTTTTCATATCCATCATTACTATCACGCTAATGCTTCTTTATATTTGTATTTGTTTGCTTAATTTTTTGTATACTTTTGTGAAAAAAAATCCTGTTATTTTTTGTATTACCTAAGCATTATCGTTTTTCGCGGCTTGAAATATCTCCAGTTGAAAACTTGCACAAATCGGTATATATAGGTTAGGAAAGGGCTTCCAAAAAGATCGAGAAAAGTTCAAGAACCAAAACTCATTTGCAAATGTTCGAGAAATCTAAACTTACGTCCAAAACTGCATAAACTTATCAACTTAGAAATCAAATTGAATCATTTAAATCATTCAAGAATAGCCTTAGAGAATAGCACACAATCAAATGAGATTATTTTGCAAAATCTCATTGACCGGGATGGTCATTTCGTAGTCCTGCTGTTGCTGATGCTGCGTAGCACCATCGTACTCGTCATCATCCTCATCGGTGCGAAGACCGCTGATGGCCATGGCCGGATCCAGCACCGACAGCAGATTGACACCCGTTTCGCCGTGCGGATCGTCGTGCATCATTCCGAGCTGGGCGGTCGGCGTGGTGGCCAACGATTTCGGAATGCGATCGCCGTAACCGGCGGCCAACGAGAGACCGTAGTTCTGCGGGATCTTCTTCGGGTCCAAGCCCTGCTTGATGGCACGCCAGATTTCCAAATCCGAAGGAGTTAGCAAGCTCGGCGAAACGGTCATCATGAAGTCGTCGTCGTCGACGTTGCCGCCACGGTGCAGCGTTGGCGTGCAGATGTCATCCGTTTGGATGGTGAGCTGGCCGGTGGGTGCAGTGCTGGTGGTGCTTCCCAGCATGGGATTGGCCAAGATCGGGATACGGTCTTCGTCCTCGTCGTCGGTCACTGAGGGAGGGATGAAGAGATGGTAAGGTTAGCATTTTTTTTTCAGTATAGGAACAACATTTTAAACAGGAGATACGTGCACTATTCATGATTGAACAGAGGAAATTCGATACTTACACTCATTGTGATCATGCATCAAGCCGTCTTCGGCGATCAATCCTTCCGATGGAAAGTCAGGAATGTTGGCCTGCAGAGACACGGATTTTTCATTAGGATACAGAGTAACTTGATGAGTATTTACTAGTTTGAAAGTGTTTAGATTCCTACTTAATCAGCATAAGTATAGTTCCTTTGATAAGCTTCATCTCGTTGTGCAATATCTATTTGTCTCGGTTTCTAATATTATACCTAATTAATATATTTGATTGTAAACTAGGTTTCTTGTAGTTCTAATCGTGATCGTTTTCGGATTGTTTTATGATGAACCAAGCAAACATCTGTATTGTAAGTCTTTCATTGTAATGAAACAACTTGACTTCGAACAAAAAATACACAACGCTTCTGGAACCGTTTCCAATTCATCCTACTTTAGTTACGAGTCATGGGTCAATGTAAGATGTTATGCGAATTTCTATTTTGTTTACCTTAATTATTTGACAGAATTCACTCGTGACCACTGGATTAGTCGTACTAGGGCAATACCCAACTAACAATTTTAAAAATGACTTGCAAAGCCTGTAAAAGCGTGTGTTATCTGGTCAAAACAGAAAACGTTTAACCTTAATGATTATAATGAACCAAAATTGAAAATGTAGGGGAAATGTATGTAATGTCGGCCTAAGTGTCCCTAATTTGGGCCCATACATAAATTCAGCAATCGACTAAATTATCAATAGCAACCAAAAATATCCATTAGTACCGTCCCAATGACGCGTTCATCTAGATAAAATTGATCAATAGCAGATTTTTAGCGATGGGCCAATGTTAGATCCATAGGCCAACATTAGAGCCATTTCCCCTATTGCTTTTTTATAATAAGCTGTGCGTCAGTGCTGAATGGAACAAACTGCTGTCTTCCGGAACTCCACTATTTGCCAGCAAATTAAAGGAGTAACACTACACAATTTTTACAATTCCTCTTCACATTATTAATAATTATTATTTCAAATTTGAATTTAACGAAAAACATCCCGCAGCAAAACTTACTTAAACTAAAATACATATGTCGTTTTCGTTTTTGCGGTGTAGGTACACCGGTGCTACACTGCCACACACCGAAAAAATTTATTGTGTAGATATACACGGTAAGAAAAAAGTACCCAAAATTGAGTTCCTTTCACTCAACACGTGGCTTCCGTGGGGCTAGGTAAAATTAAGTTAAAGAAGAAAACTCAATTTTGAGTAATCCTGATCATGAATCCACGTTGACCAAGTTGACAAAAAAAATAATAAAACGGAGCAGACTGGAACCGAACCATGGACGTTGAGATTACGGAGCCCGTGTGTTGACCACTCGTCTATCAACGCTTGTGAAAATGAAATGGTTAAAGGCGCATAAGAGCAACCTCAATGAAAATAAACTTATATTTGAGTTCATTTATTATTACTTAATATTTGAGTAAATTTTAACCAACGCCGCTTTTCTGATTCACTCAACGGCGGACCTCAAATGATAGAACCCAACGTTGAGTTTTTTTTAACTTAATTTTGAGTATTTTTTTCTTGCCGTGTAGGATGCACCTTTGCTTACAAACAACTGATGTTGAGCTGTCAAAGACTCGCGCTTATTCCTGCTTACACTACACCCATAGAGGTAACTCTAAGACCACTGGGTCCCGAAGAAAATCATTATTATTTTTGGCTCACTCAGTACCAGAACAACGGTCCCAAGCAGTCCCAAGCTATTTTACTCACCCCTGCATGTTCTGCATGAATCCACACACCCCTGATGTTATCTGTCAAACTTTCATAGCGAATCAAAACAAACATAGTGTAGTAATAGAATTTCAACTAGAATAGGGTACGTTAATCGTTTGCTTGGGACCAATAGGCTACTAAAGTGGTAAGCCAATTTAAAATCGTTAGTTTCGTATTGATTGTTGCTACACCAGTGCTACACCGCAAAAACGAAAACGACATTACATTTACCAGCGTGACCTACTTCGATTCTTTCTTGGAATTCTGTCTGGAACCCCTTTGAAATTCGGTCTGCAATTCTCTCAGAAATTTTTCCGGAATTCCATTAGAATTCCTTCCGTAAATTACATGAAATCCTTTGCAAAAAATAGCATTATGTTTCGAAATAATCCAGGAATTTCTTCTGGAGTTCACTTGGCATTCCTTCTTGTACTCCCTTTAAGTGCGGCCTACATTCTCTCAGAAGTATTTCTGGAATTCCATCCGCAAGTTGCCATAAAATTCCTTTCAAAAAATTCCATCTGCAATTCTCTTGAACTGAGTTCAGACATTTTTCAGGTTTCTTTCTAGAATTCCCGTGGAATTTCTTCTGGGATTCCCTCGAAATTCCTTCTGCAACTCCGTAGACATTCCACCGACAAACGGACATGACACTTAATTCTGACTTATGCCCGAAAATCGTAAACGGTCGATTTAAATGTGCAGTGATCTGAACTGTCAAAACCATAGGATTTTTTGATCTAGATAAAAATAATTTGTCCAGAATAGACACGAGCCAATTCATAACTTTTTCTTGCGGGCTCTTGGTTTAGCTAAATATTTTCCCCGAACCCGGAGCCAGATGTTATAAGTGTGCTTGCGTTAGAAATTTCATTGTTTTTGCCATGGTCATTCATGCCGGTTTGTCGGTGGACATTCGGTCTGCAATTCTCTCAGAAGTTTTTCTGTTATTCTTTCCACACATTCCATGAATTTCCTTCAGGGATTCCCTTGGAATTCCTTCTAGGGTCATTTGCCGGAACTTTGCGGAGCCGATATTCATTGTTTAGATCACAAAATTACTAAATGAAATTCGTTAGTAAAGCGTGGGCCGTTTACTCGCGGCAATCTCGAGGTTAGGGGTAACCAATTGTAACAAATGGATGGCAGGGTAGGGATTGAGAACAAAAGGTTTTGATAAAAATGTGCTCTTGATCTCGAACTAAGCGACATATTGATGAAAAAGACAGACATGGGAGTACACCGATGGGGAGCTAGCTACTTGGGAGAACACAAGATGACACTAACTACTAATTCCTCAGATCTCAGATTCAAATAGTCGAGATCTCGGCTAGCCTACACATCTCTGAAAAGCTTCTCTGGAATGTCTTTTGTTGAATCCATGAAACTCCTTCAAAAGTTCTATCTGGAATCCCTTTGCATTAAGTTCTGGAATTTTCCTGGAATTTCTTCTACAATTTATATAGAATTTCTTTTGGGATTTCCTTGGAACTCGGCCTGCAATGCTCTCAGAAGTTTTTCTGAAACTTATTCAGTAAATTTCATGAAATTCCTCACAAAATCCTATCTGGAATATTTTTTAAAACGAGTTCACAAATTTGTCTGCAATTTCTTCTGAAATGTCCATATAATTCCTTCTGGGATTTCCTTAGCATTCCTTTTTTCTTTGATTTGTTTTTCGTCAATCTTGTTTTCTGTACTGAGTACCAATGCTACCGACGCCAAGGAGGCAGCTCCCACACCCTACCTATAGACCCATCAACGGCTTTACTTCCCTCAGGCGTGATCAGAGATTGTATGCTTCAGAAAATACCGACGGTGCCGACTGGTTTTGAACCCAGGCCCTTTGGAGTGAGAGGCAGTCACGCTTACCAGTACACCACCAACGCCGTTGTTTAGCATTCCTTCTGGGAATCATTTCTGGGAATCCTATCTGGATTTCTTTTGGAACTACCTTGAAATTTGGTATGCAATTCTCTCAGAAGTTTTTCCGGAATTTCATCCGGAAATTCCATGAAATTCCATTTAGATTTCCATATTTCTGGTTGCCGAGTAGATGCAACAATCAATACGAAACTATCGATTTGAAATTGGCTCACTACTTGACTAGCCTATTGGTCCCAAGCAAATCGATTAACGCACCCCATTCTAGTTGAAATTCTAGTACTACACTATGTTTGTTTTGATTCTCTATGAAAGTTTGACAGATAACATTCGTGAGTTCGTGGATTTTCCCATTCGATTAGCTTGGGACTGAAGATAGTACCAGAGCTGAGCCAAAAAGTTGAGCACGTTTCTTCGGGACCTACTAGTCTTAGAGTTACCTCTATGGTAGATGTCCCATGGAATTCCTAATTGAGTTCCATCTGGGATGCCCTTTGCATGTCTTCTGGATTTCCCTAAAAACTCGGTCTACAATTCTCTCAGAAGATTTCCTGGATTCCTTCCGCATATACCATGAAATTCCTTCAAAATGGCCATCTGTAATTCTTTTTAAATGAGTTCAGAAATTTGTCTGGTTTCCTTCTAGAATTCCCATGGAATTCAATCGGGGGTTTCCTCGCAGTGCCTTCTAGGATCCCCTTAGAGTTCCTTCTGGGATTCCGTTGAAAATCGGTCTGTAATTTACTTAGAAGGTTTTCTGGAATTATTTCCCCATATTCCATAAAATTCCATCAAAATTTTTTATCTGGAATGCCCTTAAAATGAGTTCAGAAAATGTCCTGGAATTTCTTCTGAAATTTCTATAAAATTCCTTCTTGTATTCCTTTGGAATTCCATCTATGATATCGTTGAAATTCGGTCAAATCTCTTTCTGTAAATTCCACAAAATTCCTTCAAAAATGCTATCTGCAATTCCCGTGCAATGAGTTCAGAAATTTGTCAGGAATTTCTTCTGAAATTTCAACATAGAAAGCAGAAAAAATATTTTTCGACTCGACCTTATCATAAAACTTTGCATAATTGTGTATTATGTGCAATCACATTTTTGCTAGAATTCGGTCATTTAGGAAGCAAGGAAAACAATTTTAAGCATGTGAATATATTCATCATTGGTATATTGACGACTGCCATGGACATGGTTGATGGAAATTGATATCTTATTTTACTAAAATTAAATTTAAAAATAGGCCAATGTAAAATCTTATGTGGGTGACATTGGGTCAACACATAAATTTGGTTAAAATATGTTAAAATATGTAAATGTAGCGTAGTTATTAGGAGTACATTTGGTTATGATTAAAATGTACTTCCACATAAAAGTGCGTTCAAACTTTTGTTTGCCTATGGACATTTTTAAAAACGTGTTTTGCTACTATTTATGACACT